AAAAAGCATCCATAAAGAAAAGAAATCATCATGAGTTAGGACTCCAACAAATAACATCATGCACTGGACCTAAGGCTGGGCCATTTTGGTGATCTCATGGGTTATTTTTTCATCCCTTTGGGGGTTTGTACCTTCAGGATGTGAGGGCACACTTTCTCAAGCTTCTCCCTTCAAACTCTGATTTGGACCATCAACAAAAGCCCAGAGTTACAATGAAGATGGGTCAAGCAGCAAGCTTGAGCTGGAAAGGTTTTTAGACAAGCATACACATTTTGAAGAAATAAGAACAATCTGGAAACTCACTGACACATGATGAATGAAACCAAAAGCATTCCTCTCCCACAGCTTAACTCCCCTAACTCCTGTCTCCCACTTCACCAAGACTAAACCAGTTCTGATTCTGTTTCTACATCCAGTGCTTTACTGCTGGACTCAAAAGGGAGTTCATATTATTTTGCCTTTCATTTAGAAACAAAGAATAACTGAATGTAGTTTATTTACAAATATATTTCTGTGTGTATCCATCATGCTCCTCCTGCTCTCCTCTTCATACCTTTCTGGTCCTGTTGGCAATAAACAGCAACCTGCTTCAATTCATGTGCTTGCTACAATAAATTTCCACATTTTCTGTAGCTGGATTTTTAGAAACATGCAATAGTAGTATATATTATGTCAAATTGGCCACATATGCAAATAATTGTTTCTAAACTTCTTGGACTTAAGCATTTCAAATTGTTGGGATGACCATCTGAGCATGAAGTGACCTATTTAGCAAGAGAGGAGAATGAAAAAGCTCCTTTTATCACGTCCTGCACTAGAGCTTAATCCCAGTTCTACAGCACAAGCCAGACCCTGAGTGACCAGCACAAAAACTGGTTCTGCTTACTGCTCATCCTGACTTTGGTCCTGAAGTACTTCCTGTCTGCCTAGTGGGAAAGTCCATGCACATTGGAACTCCTCTGCTCAGCAAATATCTGCCGTTGTGCATTATTGTAGGGTTGACAGGCTGGACACGCCAGTCAAACAGCAGGGAGGATGGAAAGAATGACCTGAAAGAGCCATTTGGCTCAGCTATCCTGCAAAATGCATATGCAATAGAGCAATCAATTTGTGAGTCACTGAGAAAGGATTAGCAATTTTCATTTACCAACAAATACAGCAGGTTATGTGCTGGAATTCAGCGTAGAGGAAAAATGCATTAACTGGGGAAAAAAAAAGTTCCTTTTCTCATTATTGGAGTATCATAATTATAGTTGAATTTCACCATGTACAATTGCTCCTTGATGGTTCTTGTTGAGTAATTTCATTCAATAAGGGCCTGTCAATACAATTTGCTTTCAAATGTCAGTTTATACAATATCAAGAATAATGGGCTCACTCAGGTGCACTTGGAAATTGTAATAAAACATTAATTTTGGACAAAACTCATAATCATCTGGTTTAGTACTCTACAGTTATCTCTGAGTTTTTTGAGGAGCTCCCTGGAATAAATGTGAACATTACAATCTATGTTATACAAAGAGCCACAAATAACCAGGCAGTAAAGTACTGAAAAAGGAATATCCTCTGTCTAATGTACTTTAGGAGAAGTCTTGTTATTGTCTGGTCCAAGACAGGAGTGAGTGAACTGTTCTGTATCACTTCTAAGTTTCTGGAAAGTAAGTGCACCCTCATTTCCTGCATGTAATATACTTTTTGAGGTTCACAGGGGTGGATTGTTTTATCAAGCCTATTTTTTTTTTGCTTCCATATTTCCTAAAATGTAAAATAAGCTGGATAATTAACCATTACAAAATAAGTGGTAGGAAATAACTGCTGCTCATACTTCAGGATACTTTCGCAGCAGATTCTGAGGTGCTCTGTGAATGAAACAGGGAACCAGGGTCCAGCTGCTGACCATGGGAGATCAGAGCAAGCAGTGGTGGTCGTGAATATGGCAAGAATAATTTTGATGGATTTCCCCCCCTGCCTGCCACTGAAGTTTGAATGCTGACCAGGATGAAGGGACCTGGCAGGTTTGCTTAACAGGAACTTTCCCATAGTTTTGAACTCTGAGCCTGACACTCATCTCTGGTTCTTGTCAATAAAATAAAAACCAAACCAACAAACAGCTAACTCAGGAAAGGAGGTTAGCTTGAAAGGAACAGTAGGAGAGGTATTTGCTGCCCCTTCCTTTCTTTCCAGCTCAGCAAGCTTAACAACCTGTCTGGCTCTTCAAAGACAGCAGTGTTTTTCAGTACAAAGGAACAAAGAATATATCCTTTGCTTCTCTGTACTGCAGTGATTAAGGATTCAGTGATGAAAATATATTTTCCACTGAATCAGGGGCAGGGAGAGATTCAGTTCTGACTCTCTCACATCCCAGACCAGTACCCCCTTGTGGAGAACTGAGTTGGTTTGTGTTTTTTTCTTTGTTTGTTTTTGGTGTAGGTTTTTGTTCCTTCATTTGTTTGGAGTTCTGGTTTTGTTTTCAAAAAATGCAGTGGGTTTTTTTTTGCCCACATGTGAAGCAAAGCTGGTTTTAACAGTTTAGAGAGTTATCACAAAATGGAAACGTCCTCCTCTGGTCAGCTGTGATACAAGAGAGGCAATTCCCAATTAAGACTGTGCTTAATTTAAATACAAGTACGATAAAGTAAAAAAAGAAGAGTTAAATAGCAACACTCCAAGTAAGATTAGAGTACACCTGTTAAGAGC